CTTGCATGTGTTTTAGGAGATGGGTGAAAAACAGTTTTCCATCTGCCCTAGGTACTGTTAATATGAAGGGCAGAGATCTGATCACATTCTTTTATTTTCTCCCTGTTGTTAGATCAGCATCATCTGAACTCCAAATGGGCAAAATTAGCATTACCAGTTTTTTTCTGGGGATTTCCAATCCCAAGTCTGGAATCCTGTAGAACAGACTTTTACTGTCGCAGCATTACTAATAATTGTAGCCAACAATGCAGTTTATGTCCTCTTACCTTCCCACAGGACTCTAAGAAACATTAAATGTGGGCTGAAAAGGAAAGCAAAGTAAATTGTATCAATAGAACATTCTATCTCCACATTAGAGTTGTTAAAGGGCATTTAATTTTGAAATAAAAAGTCAGCTAATTCTTCAAAGCATATACTTTCTCTGGCATTCAGCTTCCCACACCTGACAAGCATAGGTTAAAAGACATTATCACTATAAGCAGCAAACAATTGTGCAGGCTGGAAGTAATCACACAATTTGTCACTTTAAAGCCCACTTGAAAACTAAAAGCTCCAGGATTCTTATAACTGCATTATAAACAGTTTACCATCTCTAGCTTATTGCTTCAGCTATCTTTTCTTAAGCCGTTTACCCTTCTCTGCTCTGCAGCTCTTTCTTTGTGATGTGCAGGATGTGTTTTTTTTTTCTTCCAGCTTGCAAAATTAACCTTACAGAAGAGGGAAAAAAAGCATCTAATCATTGTATGGTGTTTTGTCCTTCAGCTCAATCTCCTCGAGGTCAGATAAACACTGATGTCAGCACCAGGGAGGCTGTCCCTGCTGTCCCTGGTTTGGGGGGCAGGGTGCAAGTTGTCCCTTTCAGCAGTAAGCTGAGTAAGATTAGCTCAGCTCCGTTACAGCACCACAGCTGGAGATGTCAAAGCTGATCTTAACCTCTAGCAAAACAAGTGCCTCCAATCTGATTCTGGTAGCTTTTTGCTAGTCAGTGGCTTGCTGCTGCATGCAGTTTCACTTTGCTCAGTCCCACATTTCCCCAGAAAATAACAGCTCGGTGTAAATGCCGATCTGTGAGCTGCCTTCCAGCTGGGACATCCTCCTCCTTTTGACCTAGCAGAGTGTTTGCAAACTGTAAATCTTTCCTTATCCGCAGTGTGTTATAGCATGGAATTTCTGCTCTTACTGCTTTCTTGCTTTAAGCTTTGGTTAGGCTTTCACTCCACTTCTATGGAAAACATCCATTTCAAGTTCTCTTTTGGCCATTTCTTTCTGTGACACGAGCTAGATTGTTTCAGGTCATTTGGTCCAGGCATTTGGGGCTGGCTTACAAGCCTTATATCCTTGGATTGAGGACTGCTCAGAAACTGGAACTTATTCCCCATTAGTGTCTGCATCTCAAATCCCCCAAGCCAGCCAACTAACCAGAAGTCAAGCAGCAAAATATCCCCAAATCAGCCGATACTACCAACAGAAAAAGAGCACAGATCCCAGTGTCTGCACAAAATCCCCACCCCCTAAATTAATCTACCTTGAACAGATTTAGGACTGATGAGGGGCGTGCAGGAGAAGCCTGGTGAGCAGGTCAAGCATGTGGGAGCTATCCCTAGCTCTGTGCCCCAGAAGCAGGTTGAAGCTGTGGGAGCACAGGGACAAGCCAGCGGATTTGCAAGATTCTCAGGGACTTGTATGGGCACAGGCTGGGCTCACGGTGTGCAACAGGGGTTCAAGTGGATGTGAAGTGTGGCCACAGGGATATCAGCAGTCCCCAGGCAGTGACCAGTCCTCCCTTACTTTTCATGTTCTCCAAGACCTTAATTATACACACAGTTCAGCTTTTAGGTTTGTATCTTACCTCAAAAATGCCTCCTGCTGCTATCCTGGACAGCCAAGAGATTTACCTGTGGCTTCTTTGGGCTATCATAGCCTGTAAATCCACAAATGCTTTAAGCTATTCTAAGCCAGAAATGACACCCAAGGCCTTCTTTACGCCATATTACCCCTTCACCCACACAAGAACTGCCTGGCTGCTGTGAACTGTAGCAGAGAATCTGCTTTTTTAGGCTCAGTTGTGACCAGTATTAGTTGTCCCCATAATTCTCTGCCAGTTCATTGAGCAATTGCACCCAGGGCTGTGCTGGCGCTGAGGGGCAGGTGGAGCTGGATGTCCTCCCAGGCACACAGCTGGCTTGTGCTGGCCTGCAGTGATACCAGGGGCAGCCTTAGCTGTGTCTCCACTGTGCAGCTCTATTGAGTTGCTCTGAGCATCCTGCTGGGACTGCCCAGTGACCCTTCTGTCCTCTTCAGCAGATGCCCACACTTCAGAAAAAGCACACTGCAGGATCCCTCCTGCTCCACAGTCCTCTGTGGATAATAATTACCTGCATGTCTCACTGTGCCTGGCAAGGGCAAATGACCCTATAAGCTCCCTTCTACTTACAACTCTCTCTGCTCCACAGCAATTAATGATTTCTTTCCAAAAACTGCCACTGACCAATTGATTAGTATAATGAAGTTAAAGCTCAGAGCAATTATTTCTAACCTTGTGTTTTAAAAATTAATTTGTACTGAAAACCTGTCTATCTTCCTAACTTCATCTATTGCTTTAATGACATAAATTGTAGAACTCTTCTGTCTGATCCTGCCTCCTACAAAAGGTCTCAAAATTCAAGTCCTCTTTTTGCAGGAGAAGGACATGGGCTTGCATCTTTTTTTTAAAATGATATCTTTTGATCCAGCCATGACAGCCATATATAAAACCTGAACTTTCAAGGACACAAACATCAGAAGTTGAACATGCTCCTACTGAGAAAGAGGCCAGAGAGAGGAGAGAATTTGGGATGTGTGTTCTGTTGAGCATTTACTGATCCGATTCTACATACAGAGTACTTCTACTTCCCCAGTCACCCTGTAGGCTGCTAGGGGGTCAAGGAAGGAAGCAGGCTGAAGGTTTGTGCTGTAGCTGAGCTGCTCCTGGGGATGAGGAGGGCAGGCAGTCTGAATGCTGGAGCAGGAGCTGCACTAATCTGCCAGAGGACAGGTGGCACAGGGCTTTTCCCTTCCTGTACTGAGGCTAGGGGTTGTACATAAATTACTAAAAACTAAGAAATGTTTCAAGGTTGCCACACCAGTGTAAGTATTGGCATGATGCCCTTATAATTTCTCTTAAGTTCCCTTCCCTTGCTATCTTCCTAATGTAATTGATGCGCAGTTGTTTCATATTAGATTGCATAAAACCTGAGTCCATGCTTTCCTATGTTTTTGACTAGGAAAATACGAAAGCCTTTCTTACAGCTCAGGCAACATCTAGTATGGAAGATCTCCGGCTGTGGCTTCAGACAGTAGGTAATACAGAATCCTGCATTTATATCATCTTCGATGCCAGACAGATTCATTCAATTTGAGTCCGTTTGGTGAGGCTGGATGGACAGAGAGAGTAATTCCAGGGTAGAAGGTGAATTTTTCATAGCTATTCGGGTAGAAAATGTTACAGAGAGCAATTTACGCTTTCCTACAATCCTGACACAGCTGTTTACTTCATTGTCTGATTTACACTCTAGAGAGAAAATAGTAGCAAGAGTGACTCTTCTCTCAGATCCTTTACTTTCCTCACTGCAGATTTCAGCGGCTCTATTTCCTAGCCTGATTTCTTACTAACTCACTACAAATATTTATTTGCTTCAAAGGACAGAAAGTAAAGCAATTAATCCTCTTCCTTCAGAAAGCTCCTGCACTGCCACCCTGCTTCGTCTGACAGGCTTCCTGTTACTGCACCCGGGACTACATCAGAAAGCCGTTCAGGCATTTTCATTCTGGTATGGCAACTCCTCATTCAGACACACAGAAGATCCATCCTGCCTCTGGGCTCAGGATATCAATAGGTGCCATTGGCTCAACAGGCATTAAACTTATTGTTTAGAAGATGGCTCCCCAATGGCCCTTTAACCATCACTTTTTGAAGATAAGCAGGCTACCTAATTTTTGGTAATGGCATAAATGTGTGTGAAATGCCATTGCTGCCTACAAAACATAGAGGAAGAAGGAAGAAGACATTATAATATTTAGAAGTAGAATGCAAAAAAGTAAAGAGAGCATTGCCTCATACTACTAGACAGGCAAAGTAAGCCTACAAGGGTACTTCAATTTGAATCCTACAAAAGCATTTATTACTTATGCAGCCAATGTAATGTTGTAATGGAGTATAGCAGCACTTTAAAAAGCGGTCCCCCACAGAATGCAAATCTGGTTGAGGCATTTAGGGGCTTGCATGCCACTATATATGTAATCTGTTTCTTATTTTGATTGAGGAGCACATCTGCAGCCACAGGAAAGCAAAGAGTTCACTGTATTTTAAAGGTAAGGAGGTATTTTGGACTAAGGAAACAAACTTCTTTCTTCCTTTCACATATGAGGATTTCATAGCAAGGCCTACGGATGCCCATAGCATGAAGACCAAAATGCTGTGGACTCACTTTGGGAAATATCTGCATAAAAAGAAGTATGGGATGGGAAATAAGGGATGCAGCTAAGGAAGCCAGAAGCAACAGGATATGGCACTAGCTGAGGGAGAATAGCTGATAAAGTGCATTTGTCTCACAAAGAGCCAGGTTCAGAGCACTTTTCCACCTGTTCTAAGGTCTCTGAGCAAGGTTGTCTGTGGCTGTGTGCCCTCTACAGCATTTGTGTGTGCGTGGAATATGTTCAGAAATTTATTTTCCTCTTATATAATCGACTGCATGTTGCTACATGTTTTGTCAAATTAGCTCCCATCACTGAATAAACTACTAATTTGTAACTTTTTATAAAGCAAGCAAAGACAGTAGAAAGCTCTTGTTCTGACAATAGGTGAAGAAAAGAAAAGGTCTGTAGAAATGTTGGATGTTCTATTATAGCCTTTACCTTGTCAAATCTCAGAGAGATCACGACTCCTGGTAAGGAATGTAATTATTCTAGAGGTTTACAAAATTGCTCAGCGGTATGTCTTATTTTTGTTTTATTCATAATAGTTCAGAAGTCATCTCAAGGCATCTACCTCTCCAAAATGGGTATGCATGTATTCTGTGTACATCACACTGTGCTCCTGTGCTTTAGTATGTGGTGAGAAGAATGGCTTTTTTGGCTCATTAGCAGCTGTAATGAGTATGTAGTGCGTGCACATATCATCCATGAATCTGCTGTTTGAGGTAAACAGAAGTCTGGCAAGCATGCACGATAACTGTTTGTTTGATGGGGAAAAAATGGTGATTTTTATTTGCATTTTATTTGCAATACAATGAAACTTTTTTTTGCAGAAATTCATTGATACATTCCATGTGCAAAAATACCTTACACTTCTGTCAAAGCACACGCATGTGTACATATATATATATATATATATATTTATTGACACTGAGGAAGATAAATGAGAGCTTGCTTCCACTTTACAGGGCAAGAGAAAGGAGAAAATATAGCGGAAATTGTCTTGCATTTATGTCCAAAGCTGTGATCTGCAATCCTTTTTGGAACTACCATTGCAGATAGAGTAGCTAGAACACTTTGTTTTGTGTCTACTCCAAAAAGAACAATGTGTCAATGAGAAAAAATGAATCACATGCAATGAAATCATATGTAATGAAAGCTAGTAACTCTTCAAAACAAACAAAACATTCAGAAAAGCAGACTGTGAAAATATGAGACATGGAGGAGAAAACAGAAGCTGAATGTCTATTAAAAACACCAAAAAAATTTTGGTGACGCTTCTGTAGGTAAAATGACAAAGGCAGATATTCCTTTTTCATCATTTCACCCTACATTGAGAATACTAGAGGAGAATTCCCACTGGCAGCTGAATACACAGCAGCCCTTGTCATCTGATTTGTAAAGCACATCAGCACTCAGCATAAAACACAGGAACAAACACCTCAAGGACCTGCTTTACACAACACTGTGCTGGAACCAAGGATTAATATACAGAGGCTGAGGTGACTGGCCCAAGAAATGAGAGGAAAAAATGTGGGAAAGACCACAGTGAACCCTAAATGTAGGGCAGGGACAGGCACCCTATTGAGTGGTATAACCACCATGTGTGCGCATGTGTATAACCACTCACTGGGTGTCTTTTTCTTTTCAATCTTCAGGAAGAGGCAGCCAGAGTTCTCGCCCACCAGCCAGTGTCCGTCGGCACATGTGCAGCTTTGAAAAACCCCACACTGCAATGAATGTGTAAGAGAAGCTGCATGAAAAAGAGTGGTTTTACCCCTTGCTTTCTCTTTCTCTTGGTTTATCATGTCTAATGATGGGACAGATGTGGTGCATGCCAATAAAGATGGGAAATTTGCTTATGTCCCCTGTTTCAAACAATGCCTTAGTCTGATTATCCAGATGTGATGAAGAGGATACTCAACAACTTTTTTGGAGCTTTTACTTTTTTTTTTTAAGTCACTTGTATTTGTAAATGCCTACAACTTTGTATATATATATATATATATATCTTTTTTTTTTTTGAGTATTAATTTTATATTCTTTTTTTTTCATTTAGCCATCTTATTTTCTTTACAGTTATGCATGGAGGTGACATTACCCTGCATGCTTTAAACACAAATCTAGTGGCTGTCTTATGGCAAGACACCTTTGCTGTGCATAGCTCTTGCTAACCGGTTTGGTTAGTGAGCTGCAGCTGCAGAGACAGCAGAAGGAACACAGAAAACACTGGTTTGGTGGCATCAGAGAGCAGGGAAATGATGTGCAGGCACATGTAAACAAAAGCTGCAGAATCTGACCCAGGAACAAAGAGTTGTCCTAACATATCTCTAAAGAAAAGCAGGTAATTTTTTGTTGTTACAGATTTTGAAAGATGTTCAGATTCTGAATAGTCTCCATTCAATGAACAGTAGCAAAGTGTAGTCAATCCAAAATGGAAGTGTAAATGCTGCCCTCTCTTAAGCAAACACAAATCCAGCGAAGAAAACATGCTAGCTGTTGCAGAAGCAGGAAGGCCTTGCTCTGTACTTTCCAGGACAGATTTATGATCCTTTCCATCTGATAAGCTGCAGATGTGAAGCAGTTCTGATCCCTGCCCCAGGGAAGGTTGTGCAGTGATGAGGTGGAAATTTGCTGCTGAGACACTTACCCAGCATTTAGAGCTCACCTAGTCAGCCACAAAACACTGCAGCCCCATATCTACCTTTGACAGGCCACATTACTTGTGGGCAGGTAACAATCATGTTAAAACAGTCAAATCTTCCCCTCTGGTTCACAGATCAGAAGAAATGCATGCATTGCATCATATACTTGGTGTAGCAGCTGGGTTTGCCTCCCTAAAAGACAGTGTAAGGAGCATTGCAAGCATTCTGTTGTTGGATAGAAGTTGCAGTTTTCTGATGTGGAGCAAGTGGTGCAGATTTTCAGAGCACAGACTGCCAATTATCTGTCTGGAGAAATGGGTGATGAAACCTGTGTCAAACCATTAGGAAGGAAAGAAAGATGAATGCAACAGATTGTATTCAAAATACGTGGATACAACAGATGAAATTCCTGAGCATGGGGAAGGATGAGCTGTTTGCCTGTCTTTGCATGGTAATGCTTGGGATTTCTTTTTTTTCAATCCAGAAAAAAAAAATCCTCATCCACATGATGTCCTGAGAAACACTTCTGGTGCATCTCCAAGCATTCAGTGGGACTTCAAACACTTGTGGTAGTTATACAGACAAGTAAGGCTTTAAAAAGCAGCTAACCCTTTCAGACCTGCTAAGCACAGAGCTTGTTTTGTCTTCTTCCCCCTTTGCTGCCCTGAGACTTTCCCCTCCCTCCAGCTAGAGGATGCATTCAAAGGTCTGGCTGCACTGCACTGCAGTGGAGAAGGATGCATCCTCCACCGGGGATGCCTGAGTTCTCCATGGCCAGGCAGCTCGGCTGAGCTATATAGTCACGCAACTGGCGACTGTCCATCACTGCCACCTGACCTCATGTCTGAGCCTCAGTCAGAAGATCTGGAGCTCATCAGTCAGGATTTCCTGTGGAAGCCCCATACTATGCTGCCCAATGTGCTAGAAATGAGGGTGTTGCCTTCCAGTTTCAGGCAGACAGATGTAGGGACCTGAAACATTTTTTTGATACACAGAAATACTTAGGATTATTGTGTTAAGATTAATCTCCATTCTCTGTACGGTCTTGTTGATGTCCAGAAATGCAGAGCCATGAAAATACAGAAGAATAACAACTGATCACCATAATAAAAATTTCAGAAACATCAGCTTTGAGTTCCAGAGCTCTTTTCTTCTGAAAGAAAAGGCCGCAGTTATTGCCATGGAAACTTTCAGATACACCCAGAAAACCCACAGCCCTGATGTGCTGATTCATCTCCTACAGTATATTAGAGCTGTAGATCTCTACATCACAAGTGGGGTGTCTTGTGACTAAGCTTCCTGTGGCAACCTGGTTAACGTTGCTTTCAAAACATTGCCCTACTACTAGCAGTGTGTTAAAGCAAGTCTGGTAGCTCTTTGAGTACTATTTAAACTGTTGGGAGTTTATTATCTATTATACCATTATCTGTTTTCTGGGTGATGGTGAGAGAAAGACCACATTGACTGCTACTGCTCTAAAACTACAAGGACTGCACACTTTTTGGCAGTAAACATACAGAGCAACCACTGAGAATTTTCTGATAGAACTATTGGCTAGGAAACATTATGGATTTTCAGAATAATTTTTGCTTTTATAATTTTCTTAAGGTTCTTACTGTGCACATACATGTTATGCGAAGTACCTTTTACACCCTGTGTTAAGTCCTTCTCAGATATTTGAAATCTGTTACCAGGTTCTTGCACCAAACTGAATATTTTCAGCTATTTCAGCTTTCCCTCAGACATTCTGCTCTGTTCCTTATGGTTTGGGTTTTTTTTGGTTTTGTTTTTTTTTGTTTTGTTTTGTTTTTTGTTTGTTTGGTTGTTGTTGCTGCTGCTATTCTCTATATAGCACTCAGTTAATCAGTATCTTCCTCATTAAAAATGTGGTTCCTACAGAACCATAGAAAGATTACAGAAAGCAAGGTGAAACTTACCACCATCTTAATTAAAATTAACCTATATTTAAAGGAAAGTTATTTCCTGTAAATTCCCAAAGGAATCTCTGTAGCATGGGTATTTTTGAGTGGGGAACACAAAATTCATTGGTTATTTTGCTCTAAGCCCATTAATTTCTTATTTAACAGCAGTTCTAGATCTCTTTCCGCAATGATTCTTTTGAAGAAATATTTTTGAAGGGTGTTGATCATCACAGCCTGCCAGTCCTACAGACCACTAGGTCTTAGTTACACTCACATAAACTTAACATACATTAATTTAATTCAATCATTTTCTTCCCATGTTCCTAAGCTTTCCAGGTTCCTTTGCACAATACACAATAATTTTCAGTTTTCAAGCTGTATTAGCTGTGTTCCTTTCCAAGCCTGTCTGAAATAATGTTTCACTTTAGGTATTGTCAATGAGTGCAATGCTGTGAATTTATCTTCAAGTGTGCAGCATGAGGCACATCTTCAGATAACAGAGATGTACTTCTCCAGTGATATCAGAGGATCTATGACACCATGCATTTCCTTTGTTCTCACTTTGAAATCCTTTAAAAAAATCACAATGGCGAAGCAGTAGGGTGTATTTATTTAGAATATTTACTTGTAAATAACACCAAAATAAAGATTCTTTTTTTTTTTCTTTTTTCTTTTTTTTTTTAATTGTAAGAGCACCTTTTAATTACACTTTGATTTGCAGGTTTTTGATCTTCATTTCTTAAATGCTGCAATAATTTCTCTGTGGCTTGGGACAAACTGTTCATTATCCTGAGTTTCTTATTATCTATTAGAATAAGTTATTTTTTTCCAACCAACACTGCAGTAGCTATTTGTTATTCTATTGAAAATACTTAGTTAATAGCTTGTGACCTGCAACTCTGCTCTGTAATTTGGGGTCAACTCTCATATTGCCAAAGCTAATTGAGCTCTGCAAATATATTTCTTCAAATCATTTGCAGTAATTTATTTTTAATCATTTTGACATGACCAAAAAAACAATCAAAAGTTTTTTGACCCAACCCAGAATCCTGGGTAGGATCATGGATCACATCACAGCATACTCAGGCTAAACACAACTTCTAACTCCACTTTACAGTATGTGTATTACCACTGAAATTTAAAAAGAGAGAAGGAAAGCAAAAAGTCAGCAAAAAATCATTTGTCAATAGGGTTATGTACATTAGAAAGCCCACGTGTGAGTCAGATTAAAGAAACACTTAACTTTTACAGCAGAGTAGCTAAGGAATGAATAACCAGGTAAGATTTACTTGAGGCAAGCTAGAGGCAAGGCAGGGGACTGGAAACAAGGCTGCGGGCTTGTGCCCACCAACCCCACAACCTCAGGTTTCACCAGGCTCTGCCTCTGACAGCATTATTTTCTCCTGCATTTTCTGTATACTTGCTTTCTGCGTGCTGCTTCCATAACACATTTAAAGTAGCTCTCTAATTAACATAGAACATTCTGTCCCATGTACAAGGAAGCAATTTATTTTGCCCTAAAAAAAAAAACAAACACAACAAGGAGGGGAGAGGCAAGGAAAAGTTAGTTCAGTCATTTACATTTCCAGAAACACCAGTGGGAGATTAAACTTTGCTCTAATTACACAGCACATACAAAAAGAGTAGGAGTCAGACTATGAGAACTACTGCAAGATCCTCTTATCACTGATGTGGAGATTACATTGTAAATAGATTACAGCTGAAATTGTTTGTGATTTTGTTTTTTAAACAGCCCGTCCCCTTCTTTGTATATGTTATAGAGTGATGTTTGTCTCACAAACATCAGATTGTGAGTGTGGTGGGTGATGATTCTCTCACTCTTGGGTGAGAAACAAAGAAGTTAAACCTGGGTTAGGGAAAGAGATGAGTCCCTGGAAGCAATGCTAGAAAAATCAGGCTTGCAGGAACATGTTAACAATGTGCCCAGGTCTGCTAATGAGTGATGGGGCTGCCTGCTACTGCTTGCTAAAATGCCCTGCGGAGATTATCCCCTTAGCATTGAGAAAGATCACTAACCTGGAGAAAAAATAGTTCCTCTCTTTAACCAAATTACACACTACCGTGGCCATACTGAACTGCATGGATGCTATATGATGGAAGAGACCTTGGAAACAGATGCAAAACACCTACAGTATGCTGCAGTGGAGGTACTAATCTTAAATTCTAGACTAATATGTTTGAGTCCTGGGAGTGGTGAGGCTGCAGCAGGGTGGAGTTCTGCTCAGGTTTTTTCCTGCTGCTTACATGGCTGTAGAGCTGAGGAAAGCTAGTTGATGGCTACCTGCTTTTTTGTAGGCACAGTAGGAACTCCCCTGCCCTAGAGAGCATCAGCATCT